TACTCTCTATCTTAACATAAGATTAAACCAATAGCGTCCTATATCAAAGACGCGTTCTCTTATCTCAGTTCAACCATGAAAAAATTTGTCGAGACTGACCGTCCACCGACATCATCGTCGGCTTATCGTACATTCGCCCCACTAAATACGCCCTGGCGTCGTCGGCGTGAAACATTAGCTATTCTCGTATGGTGGGTAATCCCATGGTTTTGCCTATATTTAACAATACATTTTCTTCGTTCCGACCGTTGGTACTTAACTGGAGGCATTCTTCTTTATATAGCATGGATGATTGTGTTTCGAACGCATCCTAAGGAAGGTGGTCATAGACAACAGTGGTTTCGTCGACTTGCTTGTTGGAAATGGTTTACCGGTTAGTATAGAACGTATTTTTGTTTTCTTTTCCTTTGAACTTTACTCTCATTGTACTTTTAGACTATTTTCCGATTCGTTTACATAAAACATGCGATTTACCTCCTGATCGCTCTTATATATTTGGCTATCATCCACACGGAATTCTTTCCCTAGGAGGCTTTGGTAATTTTGCCACTGAAGCCACTGGTTTTGAAAACTTATTTCCCGGTATTAATCTTCGTTTCCTTGTGCTTAACTCCAATTTTCAAATACCATTTTATGATCTATTTTTAACAATGATGGGTGTATGTGATGCATCGAAAGAGTCGTGCAATTACATTTTAAAACAGGGTAAAGGTAACAGTATCATGTTAGTTCTTGGTGGTGCTAAAGAAGCATTAGACGCACATCCATCTTCCAACTATATATTAACGCTTAAAAATCGCAAAGGTTTCGTTAAAATTGCTCTTGCAAATGGTGCAAGTTTAGTTCCTGTATTTTCATTCGGTGAAAATGATCTGTATGAACAAGTGGCTAACCCACGTGGATCAAAATTACGAACATTGCAAACGATTCTACAGAAAAAGATGGGCTATTCATTACCACTATTTAATGGGCGTGGCATTTTTCAATATAAAGTTGGACTTTTACCTAATCGACACCCGATTGATGCATATGTTGGTGAACCGATTGAACTACCAAAATTAGCTCCAGAACAGATAACACCTCACGTAGTTGATGGATATCACAAAAAGTACATGGATGCATTAACACGTCTATTTGATACACACAAAGCAAAACATGGTAATGAGAACCGTTTAATCGTTTATGCCGACGATACCAATGTGTAGATAGAGATAAACATATTTTTTAAAGTAAACAAAACAATTTATATAATTTTAAACGAATCTATAATTTTTTGAAATAAAATTTCTTGATGGGGATATCGCACAGAGCTCACGAATGTCTCATCGAACAGAACACTTTCAAAAGAAGAGCTATACAACCAAATCCTTTGGACGTTAGAACTATCTATACTATATAATACCATACATTGGCCAAAGTACATCGCAATCGAAGGAAATCAACTAGGGACCTTGTCTCGTCAGGGAAAGTTTTTCGACACTATCATCGCCCGATCAAGAAAGGTCCACGCATCCACAACAATAGTAGCCAATAGTCGAACTAGAGTGACGTGTAAATCACATCAACTATTGATGATCGACTCAGGGATATCATGACAAGAAAAACAGTTGAAAACGACGCGATTTTTAGAATATCTGCTTTTTGTACAGTTATTCGTCTTATGAGAATTTTGTTAATCTATACTGAATTTTATTTCGAAAAGTTATAGATTCGTTTAAAATTATATAAATTGTTTGTTTACTTTAAAAAAATATGTTTATCTCTATCTACACATTGGTACCATCGGCATGAACGATTAATGCGTTCTCGTTACCATGTTTTGCTTTGTGTTTGCAATCGATTTCTCGACTAATTTTTTCATGGTTGAACTGAGATAAGAGAACGCGCCTTTGATATAGGACGCTATTGATTTAATCTTATATTAAAATAGAGAGTG